AGTTAGTTAGTTAGTTAGTTAGTTAGTTAGTTAGTTAGTTAGTTAGTTAGTTAGTTTGCATTTTGTTAAAACACAGAAAATGATTCTGGCTAATAAACCAAACTGTTAAAAATATATTTTTGAGTTAAAAGTGCAGTGGTTTTCATTTGTTTATATTTCTGTTTAACAGATGACACATCATTATATGCTGTATGTTATCCATTTAGGTTGTATTTGGCCTAATTTTATCTTTGAGGGACCAAACATTTCTGTAATATGTCYAAACACATAAAAACTTATAATTTATTAAAGGTGGACAAAAAAGAAACATAACATAGTTTTCTGCCAATGCTATAGCACAAACTAAAAAAGAATTAGCAGTTTTGTCCTTCATTCAGCTGTTCCATAAATTGAAAATTTGTGTTTTCTGCAAAATCATTTGAACACTGGTTGTTGAATGACTTTGCTGCAATTTGCTAAAGGAGCTAAAATGAAGTTGTGAAAAAAGCAGAACAGTAGCTAAAAGTCAAAAGAAGCTAAATATCAGCTAAAATGACAAAGAAGCTTAAAGCAGCAAATGAAACAGTTGGTTTCACTGAAACATTACCGTCACAGAGGTCTGCATAGTCGCTGCAGCAGTTGTTGTACTGAGGGCACTTGGAGTTGCAGTGGCACTGGTTCTGGGAGTTGTAAGTCTCACCACATCTGTTTTTACAAGACAAGGCATCGGCTGGAATAAAGGAAAAATTCACATTATTATTGACATTTTTAATTATAATAGCAAGATATTTGTCAAATGTTTCTAGTATTTTTATTCTAAATCAAGCATTGTATTATTGCCACTCACCTTTGCATACTTCAGCGTAGTCKGAGCAGCAGTCATTGAACTTCTCACATGCTGGGTTGCACTGGCAGGAGAAATTAYTGTCAGTTCCATAACCACACCGACCCACACATGAATCCACACCGTCTGCACACAGAGGATTGGTGTTTCTCCCATGAACAATACCATAAAATTCTAAACCTAAAAATCAATCATTCTAAAATCCTTTTTGTTATTATATTGGGAAACAAAAGTCTCTTACTGCTATGTCCCTGACAGAGCAGGGCCACACCAAGTACRAGGACAGCACTGACTTTCATCTCGGATCAGGGGCAGCCTGAAACAAGGTGGGCTGAGCGTAATGACTTCCTTTATAAAGCAGCTTCTAGCCAATCCAGACGCAGCAACATGAAAKCAACCCAATCACAATCATGTTCTTTGACTTTGGCATGTCCGTTTGGACATGATTACTTGTCTGCTCCTGTTATAAAAGATTAAATGTTCCGTAAAGTGAGTGCATTTGGTTTCACAACAGTTGGCTCCTTTTAAACTAAACACAGGGAAAAATAAAGATAACAATATCAACGTATTCTAAGGGAAACTGCACACCTGCATGTGAGCCTTTACAGTAATAAGCTGCAAATACRGGCTCTAGCCTAATGTGTAGAAAAAAACTTATTTAAACTTACAATAAATCAAAAACATATTATGATTTTTTTTTAAATAATGCAATAACGTCTGTTGTATTTTTCCAAACAGTGTGACCAGATGTTGTATTTCTCAGGATCAGACACAAAGCTTACACTTCAGGGCCCTGATCACACTAAGGTCACGTGTTCCTGGGGAACTGTAAATATCCAGATCAAACATACAAATAATGCTCCAAAGCAAACCTTATGTGCTTTACAAGGTTCAAGACAGATGGAAACTTAACAATATTGACACGCTGAATTATTTTTAGTGAAGTTCCCAAACAAAATTTTCTACTTACCAGCAGAAGAAGATACAGGGTAAATATTGAGATTTGTTGCATGTGTAAGTAAATAGAAACGTGCAACATTTCCCCTAACTTTAAATTGATTTAGGTTTCAGTGGACAGTCATTAAAAGCAGTATGTTCAAAATAATAATAATAATGTTGTTGTTGTTGTTGTTGTTGTTGTTGTTGTTGTTGTTGTTGTTGTTGTTGTTGTTGTTAATAGCAGTAGCTTAACTTTAGAAGGAGTGTTTTATTTGGTTCTTTTTTCAGTCTTATAGTTTTGTCCTTTTTGTAAAAAAACAAACAAACATGAAAGTTCACATCAAAAGACATATTAATTTGATGTAGGCCTGATCATGTGATACATTGCAGAATGTGTACACAGCTTCTTGGTGACTGCAGCTCCCCTCCTGTCCTTCAGGTGGCGCTGAAGAAAGATGGTTTCCGTCGTTCTCAGCTTTTTGTCCCTGCACATCTTCCTTCCTTCACAGCGTGGATTTCAATGACATTCTTTGAGCTTTCATAAGACGGCTCTTTTCTCAGTTTAAACATGCATTTACAGTTTTTATTCAGAACAATTACAAAAGAAGCTTTAAAGGTTAGCAGACATTATTTTTTTTACATTTTGTATTTTCACTTAAAGTCTGAACCGTCCGACTTTGTTTAAATGTTGAATGACTTCTTTTTTTTTCACGGTCTTTCTGCTGTTTCTCTGGAGTAGCTGATTTTGCTGATTATGTTTGATGTTSTTTTCACCTACTTTAATAATTATTTTAGCCTGTTATTTATGTGTCTGTAAGCGGATTGTGTTTGGGCTGAAAAGGTTGGAATAGCGTTATTGTATTATCTATGTTCCTCAGGGCAACATTTGCCATCATGTGCAGTCATTACACACAGGATATCAGCTCCTGGCAGCAGACAAAGCCCTCCTGATGAAACTGAGGAAAAACACTGGCTACACGTTCATAAACTGCAAGAAAGCTTTGGAGAAGTTTGATAATGATATAGCTCAGGTAATCCTCCTTCAGTCTGCACTCATGTTCAGTTTTTATGCCTTTTTTAGTTACTAAAGTGTTCAAATAATTTGTCTCACATTCAGGCTGAAAGCTGGCTACATGAACAAGCTCAGAAAGAGGGCTGGAGCAAAGCAAACAAACTGGAGGGTCGAAAGGCCAGAGAAGGCCTGATTGGTCTGTTTGTAGGAGATAAAGTTGCAGCAATGGTGGAGGTGAGAATTTGCAGGGGCTTACTTGTATACTTTTCATTGGGGGGGAGGGGGGGTTGCAAAATATAAATATTTTTAGCTTTATATCATGTTATATCATTCTCTCATCTAAAACATACCCAGATCGTTGCTTTGACTCATTTATGCACGTTTGAGAAATCCTTGAATCCCCTGTGGTAGTGATGTGGAGCTGCCTAAACACTTGCTGGTGCAAAGCTCCGCCTATTTACACAAAGCTCCTCCCTGGAGCTCAGTCTGCAGCCGAGCTCCCACCTCACAGAGCACCACTCCCCCGACCTAAACACTTGCTGGTGCAAAGCTCCGCCTATTTACACAAAGCTCCTCCCTGGAGCTCAGTCTGCAGCCGAGCTCCCACCTCACAGAGCACCACTCCCCCGACCTAAACACTTGCTGGTGCAAAGCTCCGCCTATTTACACAAAGCTCCTCCCTGGAGCTCAGTCTGCAGCCGAG